ATAATATATATATATATGTATACCCTCATACATGCATATTTCATATGCATTATCTTATGCACATAACACACATATATGAGACACAGGCAATACAACAATAAAAGATAATAACATAAATGTGCAGCTATAATCTATTTTATTGTGTATGTGCATACTGCCTGCCCCTGCTGCTGCAGCAACTCGGATTCTTCCAAGAGTTTACTTCTCTCCTCGTCAACCGCCAAGACAGCCTCGAGAACAGTTTCATTGCCAAATCGGTATTCTAACAAACAGCAGCAAGAAAAAAAGTGGCATTAATACATTAAAGAAAGAGGCAAATCAAAATTTTCGTAAGGAGAAGCCCGTTTGCAAGTGGACAAACGAAACAACAACACGAATACACATCCATGCACACAAATAGGCAAGAAGAAGACGAGAGCTGTGACAGCACCTGAGGTACGTTATTAGCACAACGCCGCAAAGCAACAAAGTAACAGCCAGGAATAAACGAAATAGAACAACAAAACCGATAATAAGCACAACACCACTGCAGCAAATAACAAACGAGCCAAATAAAGCAGCACGCCACCAAAATATCCTAACCAACAGTGGCTTTCCACAAGAACAGACATAAAAGCGGAACGAAATACACAAGTATCCATATACCCATATATATACAGTTTCCTTCTTACCTTGTTCTACACAAGTGATGGTGGTGTCGGGATCGACCCCCAGAATATCGTGACGGGCCAATGCATGCAGTAAAGTACTTTTTCCGATACCGTTCCTGCAACAGCAGAGTTTAAATCCAAGAATGAATGCAAACACAGAATATCGCATCCCTTCAGCATACAAAAATGCTGTGGCCTAGGAGGAAAACTTCAGATGTACAGAAAGCGCAGTGCGAGCATAAACTGCCAACCGGAAGAACTGAGATCCACACCGGCAGAAATAAAAATGTGTGCTTTTTTATTATGATATACAGACTAAATAAGTCGGGACGATGCTGTTTTCTCTTATTTTGTTTAATGTCCTACCGTCCTATCAGGCCATATCGCCTCCCTTTCATGAGTTTTAAAGACGTGTCCACCAACAGCTGACGCCCCGCCACAGAAATCGAAAAAGAATCAACCAAAATGCCCTCCGCTGCACATCACAGCAAAGGTGTATGTACATCTCAAAGTCTAATAAGCCTTCACAGCGCTGCCAAGGTGTGCATGTAGAGCTCAACATCTAATAGGCTGCTGCCAAACGGGCCAGAAGCGGAGCGCCACAGGTTTAGGACTACGGCACTTAGGGGTTTAGGGTTTAGAAACAGAAGTGCGCAGCGGTCAGAGTCAATTAACAGGGGGTGGAAATAGACAAAACCAAGCAGAGCAAGTTGCATGCATGATAGTGGCGTTTCACATTCCAAATTGAAGCTTACCGCTGCGCTTGAGTTGGACGTCTCCGTGACGCTTCTTCGGAGGTGGCAGAGGCGGTTTATTCTTTTCCCACTCTTGAAGCAGACGCAGCTGCTTCTCGCGCTGTACATACAGCACAGAAGCAAGGGCAGCATGCGGCAAACAGGATACGAATAAATAAAGCAGGTTTAACGGAGACGACAAGGAGAAAAAGAGGCGAAACAAACCTCAATAAAACACAACGGGAGTGAAAACCAACAAAACATTGTGCAAAGTACACAAGAAAAACGCGAAGCGAGAGCAATGCATATGAAAGATGAAGGTCGCCCGCAAAATGGAAATGCAACCAACCTGCTGCTGCCTTCGCTGCTGCTGCAGCTGCTGTTGCCTCGCTGCATCTGCTGCTGCCGAATCCCCATCGAAAACTGGTGCGTTATAATTAATCATTGCCGCATCCTGCTGAATGCCCAAATAGGGATCGCTGAAGTCTCCTGTGACGAGCAGCAACAACAATGCAGCAACGGCAGCAACAGCAGCTAATGAAAAGCAGCAACGCAGCAGGTAGTAGCAGCAAAAGAAAATAGCGCTGCAGTAAACACCAACACCCGCAAAACTTAACAGCAAGGGAGATGCCGCAAACAGCATCACAGCAAAAGCAGCAGGCACAGCACACCACATGTATAAACAGGTAGAAAAACACGCGAATAAACAAAGGAAGCGCGGAAGGAAGAAGGTGCAGCAAATACACCCCAACAGCAGAACCGGAGCCCCTTGTCATATAGCACAAAAAAACCCATTTACGTATAAGGAGGGCCGCAAGATAGGCAAAAGCACAAAAGCCAAAAGGATGGAAATAGAGAAATAGAACAAAACTAAAGCGGTGTATACACAGGTGGGTCGGGCGTATAGTCACCTTCAGTCCTCTTGCTCAGAAGGTCTTGCAGTCTCACGGGGGCCCTTGGCTCCGCTGTAAATAAGAGGAAAACAAACAAAATTAACTATTTGGCGATAACTAGGCTTACTAGTTAACTAATAAATTAACAGAATTTGTTGCTTATAAAACCAATCGATTAACTAATCAACTCAACAGATAACGAACCAATCAATCAACTGGTTCACCGATTAATCCATTAAATTAATCGACTAATAGTTTAAACAACCGTTTAATTTTTATTAGCCTACAAATCCAATAATTAACTAATTCGTTAATTACCTGCTTTGGGGGCTTCGGTCTGCAGACTCTCTGTTGGTTGCGGGCCTCGGCCTTCAAGGAGTTTATCGACAAGGCGGCCACAAATGGCCTAAAAGACACAACAAAAGATGATGCACTTTGTTTCCTTTTTCCTCTTTTGCAACCGGTGGTGTAAAGTACAAAATATCGGGTGAAATACCATTAAAAGGACGACGCTAACATGCTGATATCCAACAGGCTGCAGCCGTTCTGCAGCTCCCCCTGGGGACCCGTTGCTGCCGCAGGCGCCACTTTTCCTGTTGCTGCTACACTTATTGCTAATTTTACCATCGCTGCGTCTTTTGCTGCTGCTGCTAGGGTCTCTGCTGCTGTTGGTTTTCCTGCTGCTGGTGCACGGCTGTTCGAGATATTCGCGTGGCTGTGTGGCGGCCCCCAACAGCTTTATTCCTGTCACCAGCGACTGTCAGGCATGCAATCACTTCGTCGTAAGCCCTAAAGCCTAAATCATCGGAAGGCTCGACCGTACCACAGATTGGGCATCGTCTTCAGCGACACCAGCATCGATGAGGAAAGCGCCAATGAGTTCGTGTGCTTCTTCTGGATTGTTTGGGGCTTCATCCTGCAGCATGCCTGTATTCCCGCAGACAGCAAAATGTGGGGAAGGGCGAAGATGAGATGAAGAGGCAGTGAAAACGCCAAAAGACTGTGGGGAAAGCCCATGAAACAATTTAAATTAGAATCATCCTGCCAGCTGCATAATACTGCACAGTAGTGTACAAATAACTGCATTGCTCCGTGTTGCTCTTAAAATCCATGTACCAACGAGATATTCTTCTGTTGTTTGGTCAAGCTTCCCCTCTGTTAGTTCCTGAAGGGCGCTGCGGACAGCTTCTTCGGAGGCCCCAGCCATCTTCGTGCTGAGCCACAACGGGCTGGAAGAAGTTGATTTACAGAATGAACCCGCTGATTTCCACGAAGACGCCAAAAAGCTATGCAAATCAAGCAGTAGCAGCTGTGCCTGTTATGAGGCACGCGCCGCTTTGAGGTGTATACAACGCTCGGAGAAACGCGCCCTGGTTGATAATGCCTCACAGGTTTCCGTAGTTGTGGGAAGAAAAGACGCAAGATTCCCCTCCCATTTGTCGCTTATTTCCCTTTTAATGCCTAGCTAGACAATTAATATACAGCTAGGCAGCCACTTCACTGAGTTTCATACCACTTTCCTTAGACAGGTTGCAAGCTTGAAGGCGAACTTTCATGGGGCTGCGGCCCCACTGCGCCGGACACTGAGCGGCGAAACGAAGCCTTGAGCACTTTTTAATGAAAAATTATGTAAGTGTTGAATTAATGTGGTTGTACATGTGTTTAGTTTGCAATAAATACCGAAGAAACGCGGATCCTTTAGCACGCCAAACCGCCGCCGCGTTGCGTAGGCGGCGGTGGTTCGTGAACCGAGTCGGCTGTACTTTCCCCGTGTTTTTGCTTTGGCTTTTAAACAACGGTTGACTTTCAGTTGCCATATTCATATTTTAGAGCAATTTATTCTTTCTTCTCGCTTTTGGCGCAGCGAGAAGACCCCTAACATAGGGTTTCCACTCATTTGGAAGGCACATTTCGCGTGGATTAGTATTCTTCCGCTTTTTTTTTCTCCTTGGCTTTGTCCCTGTCCTCGTTCTTCCTCAGCCTTCTCTTATCCGTCTGTTTCGTGTACCCTCCATCCCTCTATCCTCTTTCCTTTTTCTGCTTTTCTGCCTTTGCCGATGCCTACCATTGAAGGACAGTGGCAATGGCCATTGCCCGGACTCTGCTGATCCGCCGAACGTAAGTGGAGACTCTGTTAACTGTTTGTACATCGCATAGTTGCATGTGTCATTGTTTCCAGCATTCCCTTGCATCCAGCTGCTGTTACTACTGCTGTGCTGCTGCTACTGCTCTATCCGCTGCACGCAGGCAGCTTGAGTGGCTTACACGGCGCATAGCGCTCAGCGGCTGCCTCTCGCGGCGAGAAGCCTTGGCGGCAATCGAAAGTGGTGCAGTGAAGGTGTGGTTTAGGGTCTAGGGTTCTTATGCTGCAGCAAAGCACTCTGCCTTCGTTGGAACCGTATCTGTCTGGTGCAACTTTTTTTAAAAAAAGAAACAGCGGCAAGAGATAACAACTGATTTAATGGGGCGTAGGAAAAGGATAAATATGCAAAGACATGAATTTATCATATTTGCTGCCTTGGGGTGTCTGCAGGTTGACGGCCGCACCATAAAGAGGGATGTGGAGATATGCAATGAGGCGGAGGTTTCTTTGTTGGGTTCGTACTACTCCTTTTCCTCTCCTTGTTTATCCCCTTATCTTTATTTTGCTCTTTATTCTTGTTGCCCCTACTGCACTGAGGTGTATTTGTCTTCCGGATGGCTGTGCTGCTGCAGGAAGAGTGCTGCCAGCAGCAGGAGCGTTGCCAGCCCTCTTTGCGGTATTAAAGCCGCGAGGCATTGGCTGTACGTACACCTCAAATGGCGCAGTGCCTTCTTTAAAGAACTTGTTGCTGCAGCAACCCGATGTAGAAGAGTTGCTGCTAAATGGCCTCACAAAGGCAACAGCAAGTGCCCAAAAGGCAGCAGCAGACAGTCGACAGCACAACAAAGAAAACAGAGAATCAGAAGGAGAAGAAAGCAACAACAACACTGCAGCAGACACTGGAAGTGACGAAGACGAAGATACACTGCAGCATGAATACCACAGCATCTGCAGCAACAACTGCAACAGCAACAATAACAGCAGCAACAGCAGCAGCACCAACAAGAAAAGGTCGTCGCAGGAGCTGCCGGGGCATCTGATACCTGTGGTAAGCAAAGGGCATAGGCTTAGCAGGCGTGTGGTGTATCTGTGGTGTCATCTGATAAGCAACAGTGTTTCCTACAGCTCTAGCTGCAGTGCTTGCTGCTGCCTCCTGCTGTTGCTGCTGCCGCGCGGTGTTTAGAACCCACTGCCTGTGCAGGCAGAGGGTCTTGTCCTCCTCACAAACGACGGCGAATTCGCTCACCTGCTGCGTAATCCAAGCAGCAAAATATTGTCGGTTAGCAACAGCAACACACAACACTACCCTAGTCTCTTGCTGGTCCTGCTGCTTCTGCTCCTGCTGCTGTCTTGTCTACTGCTGAGTTGGTTGCTGCTGTCTCCTTTGCTGCTGCAGCTGCCACTACAGCAACTAGCGCTACAGTGTCTGCAGCAGTTGCTGGTGCATCTGCTGCAGCACCAGTTTTCGTTGTTGCCTACTGCAGCAACAGTAGATAGCTTGCTCGCACTGTGCACTACGTGTTTGTTTTCGCTTGTACATAAACACATTTGCCGACTAGTATTATTACTGTTAGTAATTACTGTTATTATTACAGTTATTATTGTGTTTCTCAGGCATACGACCTGCGAGTCAGCGGCACTCTGCCCACAGCAGACATGTGGCGCCGCTGGGCTTTTGGCGTCAAAAGCGAAGGAATCGACTACGGAAGGGTTTGGGTGCGGCCTAATATAGCAGCAGCAGAAGCAGCAGGAGGAGCAGCAGTAGTAGTTGTTTTTGTAGTAGGAGTAGCTGTGCCAGGGCCTGGAAAAGCAACGGCAGCAGCAACAAGTTAGGTCCCTAGAAAACCACGTGGTGTACGTACACTCGGCCTCGTAGCTGTTTCTGCTCGTTGGCTATGCAGGTGCAACTCCTGAGACCTTGCCCTTCAGGCGCGTGGCTGCGGGTGAGTGGGGAGGGAGTTGGGGTGTACAGGCACCTCATCAAATAATAAAAGACCCTGCAACGCCTAAGGCTTCTATCTTTGAGCATACACGGGTTTGTCTACTGCGGTGTATCTGCAGCTCAAATTCGTAGAGCCACCAGGGGCCGACCTGAGGTCTCTCCTTTTGAGTTGTGGCCTCAAGGTGAGTTTACAAACTTGTTTTAATAATTTGATGTTGTTTAATTTACTTGAGTTTCATGTGCGTTATTGTCTGTACACCTGAGTGCCGCCCATGCAGCACACCGTACTCCACCGTACAGGCGTGCACAACAGAGTTAACTTCCTAGTTGCACTTTCTCGTTCTTTTCCTTTGCAGATTCGGCGCATGCGGCTGTATTCCTTTGGGCCTTATTTAAGCACGTCCGTACCTCCAGGGATTCTGTACCCGCTGCCTATAGATAAGGCGCTGTTGAAGCTGCACCAGAAGCAGCGGCAGCGGCCTCGTTTGATGTTGGTTCCTGCAGCAGAGGAACTGCCCAATATCATAGAGGCCACGCAACATCTTAAGCATCTTAAGGGCGGTGGCTTTCCTGCGGAGAGGCTGCTGAAGGCAACTTCTGTTTTTTCAACATCGAAACCAACAAAACCAAACTGAGCAACTGAAACCGCTCAGTAATGGGTTGTATCGACAGATTGCTTACTCGCATGCCGACTAAAGCGGGAAAGACAAAACAAATTTTTATTGCAGACGGTGGCCTAGTGCGACCTCCAATGCTCGTTTTAAGTAATTTATGCAGCTAGTTTGATTGTTTGCTCTCGCGTATGTTTATCAAGCCTGCATGCAGGGAGAGACGTCTTATTTAATTAAAACGCTCCACCCGAATCCCCTAGCAAAGATTGAAGATATGCTCGGTGGTTGTGGTGTCTGTACAACTAAAGGAAGCAAATTATTCAAGATACTAGGCAACATAAGTCTGAGTTTTGCCTTGCCTTCTCTTTAATAATTCACTGCGTTTAGTTGTACAGTTTGGCAGCACTTCTCTCTATCACTGCTTGTTGCGCAGCTAATAATTCCACGTAAAAGTGCTGCCATATTCTCAGTATACCAATTAATAGCATAATAAACACATATTGAGACTCAGCTGCATATACGTCTGCCTCCCTTTGTTCTGCACCTGCTGCTGCACGGCAGCAAATTGCTGCTGCAACGTTCAGCCTTCATGGAAGGCTATTTCCTCTGCAAACTTCCGCTGTACATATACCGCGCGCCCCAAGCCAGCGCAGACACTCCCAAGCAGCAGCAGCAGCAGCTGTCTACTTGAGCCGCTGCTCCACCAACTGGGCACAGCAGCAGCAGCAGGTAGGCTCAGATGCTGCTGCAGCAGCAACAACAACAACAATGGAGGGATCTGAATCATGTAAGAAACCTGCGGATCCTTAAAACTTGCACATAATGCCAAAGTCCAAACAAACAAATACAACAAGCCCACCAACAACCTGCAACACGCACATCCGCACACTCACACTTGCATGCACGCAAACACAGCAACAACAACAGCAGCAACAACAACAGCACCAGAAACACCAACGGTGGGAAGGGAAAGGCTGCCCATGCCACGAATACCACCGCAACCAACAGCTGCAGCAGCGGCAGCAGCAGCACGAACCTCCAGTCAAGCACCGCTATTCCTCCGCTAGGTAGAGGCCCTGTCCTTGCGATTGCAAAGCCCCAAAAGGTGACAGCTGCAGCTTGTGCTGCGGTGAGGCAACAGAATTGTGCATGCGGCTGCAGCAGAAGCTCTACAGAAGTGGGGGGAGCTACACTTAACAGCAGCACGAAGACTGCATGTAAGCCGCACAGAGAACGATTGGCGAGTCTTAAAGATCTGCAGCAACAACTCAGCAGCAGCAATAACAATTCAACTGCCATATACTCCTCACAGTCCAGCCGATGCTGCTGCAGACGCTGCAGCAGCTGCTGCTGCAGTGGCACTTGTTGACGTCAGTGAGAACAGAGTTCTCACTGACGTCAGGAGTGAATTGCTGTGGGCTTCTGATGTATCTTCTGTCACCTATAGCTGCAGAGACAACACCAGCAGCAGCAGCAGCAGCAGGACTTGTACTTGCCTGAACTCCCCATGTCTCTGTTGGCCAACACCTAACTCCACTAAGTGAAGTATTTGCCGTCTGTAAGCATCAAAGGCCTCAAAGGAAATTATGGGGGGTTGGGTTTCCTCCTCAGTCGTGCTCCTTCTGGGCTTGTCTTCGTTCTGCTGCTGCTCCTGCAGCTGCTGCAGCTGTTGCTGCAGCATATCAGAGAGACACACATCGTCTTTGTTTCCTCTGGAAACTTTATTCACCTCCGCCCGAGCAGAAGTTGCAAGCAGTCGTATTGCTGTGGCCTGCTGAGCAGAAGAAAGGGGAAAAAGAGGCTGATCGCCCCTCCAACAAGCAGAATACGACGAGCAGCAAGTAGAACGGGAGAAAGAGCAAAAGGGCGAATATTTAAAAATTCGATTTGCACTGAAAAGAGTCCTCGGCTCGCTGCTGCCACTGGGAGGCGAGACATGAGGGAAAGAAGAAAAGTGGAGGAGAGGCCGCCTATGCAAACAAAGCGAAGGAATTTGTCTCAGAGCAGAGGACATGGCGGCACAAAGGCATCAGAACCCGGAAAACTAGCTGAAATGGTAGAGAAGTTGTTGTGGGAAACGGAAACGGCTGCCATCCAGAGAACACCTTAATACACGTACTGAAAAATGCGGAAGAAGAAGAGCGAGTAAAAAGAATGGAAGGTGTGTTAGCTGTTGGGCACTTAGAAGAAGGATTGAAATTCAATTCAGTCTTCTTTTTCTGCGGTCAACAAAATTCAGATACACTGCCTGCAGCTGTCCTGATGTACATGCAAGATGCGGCAGTGGATAGGAGGATAGAAATTGTCAGCTATATAAACATCAGAGAGTAAATGTAAGTGAATGTCTATAAACTGTTGGCTATTTCGATAAGAGTCGCAATTTGCAAGGCCCTTCGTCGCTGGTCATTTGTGCATGAGGTGTACGTACACCTCGAATTGCTCTAGTTGAAGTTTGTCGGCACGGGCGGCCGACAGACGAAATAAATCTGTGTTTTTCATTATTTAGTTTAAGGGAAAATTGAGTTAAGGATTATATAGTGAATGCGTTTCGCTCTGCATGCCCCGTTTCACTGGGGCTTGCCGGCCGTTCATGCTGGTATGTAAGGAGAGCACGTTGAGGGTATTCGGAGTCTAAAGAGTATACCTGTGCATTGTTTTAATGGAATGAACGGACTTTGCGTCGAGCTTGGCCCAGTGAGGGTTTTTTCTTCAAGCTTTCCCTTCTTTTTCCCTCCACAGCTGCTCGTGCTGTTGGCTGCCGCTGCTGTCTCTGGGAGTTTCGTCGCTTGAGGGGCTTCGAGGCAGTTGTTGCGGTGTATGTGCAGTGTGTTTTCGCGCATATGAGTGGGCTTGCTTCTTTCTTTTGATTTATTTTGTTTTTCAGCGCAGAGAGGAAGAAAGACAGACACGGAGACGTCGTCTCTCCTCCCCGTTGCCTGCCTACAGGGTCACACCACCACAGCACACCACAGCCACTAACCCTCCTTAATCCCCAAATTAAATCCCCATTTAAGATGAAACTCTACCTGAAAAAAAGGAGCGGAAAATTCCTCGACGCCTGCGACTTGCCGGATGAGAGCACAGTGGAGGATTTTAAGCAGTACTTTTATCGGAAATGTACGCATTTATTAACCATCTATAATGTATAAATGCATGTATACATGCACAGATGTTACTCACTATATATATCTGCATATAATATGTATGCACGTACCTCTTTATATACATTTGGAGGGGCTAGGGAGTGGTGGTGTCACAGGGGGATGGAGGATTTGTTCTTACGTGTTTTTAGTGTTAAGTTTGTTATTCCCCCCGTACAGTGCACAAGACGCCCCATTGCATGGATAGCTTCTTGCACTATTTTAGTTGCTGTTTATGTTCTCTTACGATACACTCAAATACTCCTTTATTGGAGATTTCGGTCTTTTGGTGCTTTCTTCTGCCGGCTGTTCTTCCCTCCTTTTTTCTCTTTTATTCTTTTTTTGTGGCATTACAACAACTTTCCTCTTCATGTTTTATGTTTTATACATGTATATTATATATACATGTATATCGTATGGATGGTAATGCATAGTTAACATGCCTAGATTTATATGTTAATAGGCATATATAGATTGTGTTTATTGCATGCATCCTATGTACTATCAACATCGGGTTTATAACACACGCGTATACCTCCTTATGCATGTACATTTGCGCATGTAAACCGGTTTTCCTTTCTTCTGTTTCTTCCAGCTTATGCATTGTTATTAACACCTCCACCTTTCTGCTGCTGCTGTTGCTGCTGCTGCATGCAGTCCACTACTATCCCGAGAGGCAGTGGTGGACTGTGGGGGTGCCTCAAGGCACTGCCCTTAGAGGGGATGGATTGTTAACAAATTTCGGCGTACACGATGGGGAAACTCTCTTCTTTAAAGACCTGGGTAAGAACGGATTAATGCACTGTCGTATATGGTAAATATATTCATCTATTTATTTACCTACCTATTTATTATTCTTGTTGTTTGTTTAGTGTATAGTGTATATTAATATGCATAGGAGGCATTGTGTGTGTTTACATTTCTATACTATACACGACGTATGTATATAAATAGGAATATACGTTTGTATATATCTGTATATGTATGTAAATTTGTTTGTTTTATTGCTGTGGTGCCTGTTTTGCGGTGTATGTCTTGTTCAGGTGTACAGATATCATGGCGGCTTGTGTTTGTTCTTGAGTACCTTGGGCCTCTCCTCATTTTTCCTGCTCTTTACTTCTTCCCCTCTATCGTATATGGAGTAAAAAGTGTCCCGCCCAAGACCCTTACACAGACGTGAGTCAAAAATTATAATAATTATAAATATAAATTTAAAATGTAAATGTGTTTATTGGGAATGTAGCTGCACTAGAGCTGTTTCTGTTCTTATGATTGGGGAGGTATCAATAGCCGCTAACGAGCCCTAGTCGCCTACACCTTGTAGCGGGTTGTCTTCATTGGGGCTGGTTGCATGCATTTGACGCATGCGTCGTATGCCTTGCATGCATTAAATTGCATGCATGCATTGCACTCATGCGTTTTGTGGACTGTGTGTTATGCAGGATTGCGCTGTGGTTGTGTGTGGGTCACTTCTTGAAGAGGGAGATGGAGACGTTATTTGTGCATCGTTTTAGCAACAGCACGATGCCAATAGTGCGGGTGCCGTTAAACTGTGGTCATTATTGGCTATTATGCGGCTTAGGCATTGGTTATTTCCTCTTCCATCCTCAGTATACACCTCCCTTCGAGGGAGAATGGCAGTTTATGGTGTATGTACTCACAGCGCTCTTCGTGGTATGTGTATTTCTTACCCACATTCTCCCTTGAAGTGGCAATGCAGTGATGTTGCACAAGCTGTACGTGCGTACAATAAACAGATTGTTGCTGTTGCCTTATTCAAACAGACGGCATTTGCAGCAGGTAAACGGCTGCTGCTGTAGCAGGATAGCAACAATCATCTGCTGCTGCTCAGTGGCGTGTCTGCGTTGGCGATGTTTTGCTGCTGCGTACAGATCTTTGAAGCTCTTAACTTCAAGACACATCTCATCCTCCGCGGCCTCCGCTCTCGAGGCACGAGGCAGCGCGGCATTCCTTATGGCGCGGGCTTTGACTTGGTGAGCTGCGCGAATTACTTCTGGGAGACGATGGCATGGCTTTCCTTCGCTCTGCTTGTTTCGTGCTTTACAGGTAGGAAGAGAAAGAGCACAGCATACAGAAATAATGATAAAGAGAGAAGGCGATGCTGTCAACAAACTGACACCCCAAACGATAAAAATCTAGTCTATCCATAGACAGAAGGCATCTTTGCTTATGTCTGACATATATTTATTTATTCCCCATGGTGCTGTGATGTGTATGCTCTGTGCTGCAGCATGGCTCTTCCTTGTTGTTGCATTCGGACAAATGGCAGAGTGGGCTTTGAAGAAACACCGAAATTACATCAAAGAATTCAAAGACTACCCCAAGTAGGCAACAAATCCAACCCGACGTATTTCGTATATGAAGTACGTAAATAAATAAATACTATATATTTGTACATGTTTCCCTCTTGTTTTCCTTTGTGCAGGAACCGCAAGGCAATTGTGCCTTTCATCTTGTAGCGTAAGCATACGCGGTTGTTATTAGAGAAGGAGGAAGACCAGGCCAGCGCATGCTCTTCTTTCTTTGTTTTCCCTTATCTTCTTGTTTCTTCTCTTCCCTCTATTTCCTCAACTCCACAAGTAACACAAAGCTACTACAAGTTCCGCATCGCATTTCGTTCTTGTGGAGAGGTCAATCAGAGGTTCTCAGGCCTGTAGGAGTAACTGCACGATGGTTACTTGCCTTCTGTTCTTCCTGTATAACCATACATACCTCGTGCAACTTCATATTGCTGTAGCTGCTACTACTGCAGCAGCTGTAGCTGCTAGTACTGCAGCAGCTGTAGCTGCAAGTACTGCAGCAGCTGTAGCTGCTACTACTGCAGCAGCTGTAGCTGCTAGTACTGCAGCAGTTGTAGCTGCTAGTACTGCAACAGCTGCAGCTGCTAGTACCGCAGCAGCTGCAGCTGCTAGTACCGCAGCAGCTGCAGCTGCTAGTACCGCAGCAGCTGCAGCTGCTAGTACTGCAACCGCGGATGCTGTTGCAGCACTAGCTGTGCCGCTATAGCAGCAGCTGCTCGTGCCGCAACAGCAGTATCTGCTAGAGTCGCAACAGCAGCAGCTGCTAGTGCTGCAACAGCAGCAGCTGCTATCACCGCAGCAGCAGTAGCTGCTAGCGCGGCAACAGCAGCAGCTGCGACTGCTGCGGATGCTGCTTCTGCTGGGGTGTGGTGTAAGCCGCTTGCTCGGCCGAGCGTATTTCCAGTTAACTAACGCCAACATCGCTCACAGTCTGAATACGGTTGAATGCATTCTGTTGGAGAGGCGCCACATACAGCTGCGGTGTACAGACACCTTGTACATCTTGAAGATAATCCGTGCCACCGTGCCACATTGTTACCATCTTAATCCCAGCGGCGCAGTGCAGCAGCTACACCGCCAAGGGAAAACGTGGAGGCCCTACAATATATTTACACAATTTACGCAATCCTATATATATATATATATAT